AATGGTACTGATAGAAGGAATGTAGATTATAAAAGGGACATATTAGATTGGCTTACACAATATAAACCAGGCATTTCAACAATGGCTATCTGCACACTACAGGGGCAAGGAAGATCTATATGGTCCTAGGAACTTCTCAGACCATCAGAGAAGTTTTTCATGCCTCAAATTCTCTATTTGGTTCTGACAGTCTAAAGGAGTCCTGGAGAGACACTTCAGTCAAAATCAGAAGACTGAAGAAGCTTAGTGCAGATGTTAGTGAAGTTGACAAAAGCAGTAACAAAGCAGATTCACTCACCATCAGGAGTAAAAGCAGGCAGGCAAAAACAGCACTGCATCTCACTCAGACCTCTTTCTATCAGAACTGCTCCAGAAGATGCTGCCCTCCTGAAAGGGTTTCTTTCCTCCCCATCTGCCATTCCTTGCAGGAAATGTCCTCACACATTGCCCAAAGCCTTGTCTCTTAGTTAAAATCAAATCCAGTCAAGTCAACAACCAAAATTAACCATCACAACTGCTCTAATAAACTATTACTAAAATACCATTAACTCTCTGTCTAGTTTAGTACCGTTGCCCATAAAGATTGAATCTATACCGTTTCGTTGTATTCCCAGACTAACAGAGACAACTCAGTCTATGAGAACACCAACTTTTATAGACTCTTTAACCCTTCTTGATACCATAGAAAAACAAAAAAGGCATCCTGATTCATAAATCAGTATCTTTTATTTTTTTCTTGGGGAAAATTTATTCTGGGACTATTCTCATATCATCCCAGTCACTAGCTATGAAGTAGAAGAAGATGTCACTCACTGTCTTTCTTCTAAAGAGCTTGAGTGGAACATGCTGGTGAGACCTTCCTATCCCTCAAAAGTTCAAAGAGGGTTTATCTCATCAAGACAAGCATTGGCTGTGTGGTATATGTGCATCACCAGGTATCCACATTCTCCATCTTGCATAACTAGAAACTCCAGTGTTGGTATTTAAATTTTTAATAAGAGGTCCCATTAAAAGTGATGTATGCTTGAAGGGGACCTATGTTTTTCACAATCCAATTATACTATTCATGAGAACTGCATTTATTCTATCTTTTCCCTTTTTAAATGCTTTTCAAGAATTAATTGATTTGCCTCCTCAAGATATCAATTCTGGTTCATTTTTGTAAAGTGCTAATATGCTTACAAACTTCTCTCCCAGAGTCCATGTCATGGTAACCTTGTGAGACATACACTATTGTCTTCATTCTACAAGTGAGCAAAACAAAATTCAGAAGGGTCCCATGACAAAACTAAACCAAAAACATTCACAAGTACTCCTGGCACCAAGACTGTGGGGCCTGCACTATGCCACTGGCAGCTCCCATAGCAGCTGGAATCTCACATTGAGATACCCTCACTGTCACAGTGGATACAAAGGTGCTTGGATGGTGTGATGGGCCAGATATAGCATATGGGGAACCAGTATGAGCAGTAGTCCAGCTCTTCAGACAGAAGGCTAGAGAAAATTTGAGTAGACATGTTTAAGGCATCTTGCACAAGGAAGCTAAAGTGGTACATATATTGGTAATATCAGCACATCCCACAGAGAAAAGCCTACATGAGACTATAAAGGCTTGTTCAGGGGTCAGAATCTATAATTGAGGTGCTTGGAGCCAGGGTGAGATTGAAAGATCCTCAGGTGTCATAGCAAAAATAACCCAGAGTCAGTCAGGCTTAATGGTCTGATGCATACAGACTTACATAAGCATTTCTAAAGGAAATGTGTTATAGACCCTAAGTCCTTGGACCACCTCCTTGGCAGCCTTCACATTCTTTCTTACTTTCCCTCCTTATCCACACTTGCCATTCTCAAGCAGAGTCCAAGCATGAGGGCACTTCAGACCTTCATGTGAGCAAACATTTTCCAAGCTCTATTCTCCGGCCTAGATATTCTCCCTTGACCCTCTAATTGTCACCATAATGGAGCAGATCCAGTTCTACCAACTGAAGGAAACTGCATGAATACCCCTCCAAAAGTAATCAATAAGCCCAAAGCCAGAGTGACACATTTCCTCCAGCAAGGCTCCACCTCTTAGATGTTCCCTAACCTTCCCAAACAGAGCTACCAGCTGAATACCAAGTATTCAGATGCTTGTACCTATGGGGGGAGGGCATTTCTCATTAAAACCACAACATGTGGGGAGGTCACAAGCTGTCCCATCTTGTAGCTAAGGAAAGGAAGGTCCAGGGCTTCTAACCTCAGGACCTCTTTGCTAGTACAGGATGGCCTCCACCTTGCTGTGCATCTTGTAGCAGTGTTTGCATTTTGAGCACACACTGAAGCCCTGTGCTAGAGGCTGTGGCTCTCAGGTCCTTGGGAATCAACCTGGAGAGAGTCTGGTAGTTCTTTCAGAAGAGTGGGGAACCACATGCCATCAGTACTGCCATTGCCTTCCTGATGCCTGGCAACTTTGTAGCCAGGGGAAATGAGACAAAACAGTGAACTTCCCTTTACCTGTCTATGAAACTCCATCTAATTCGCAGGTTATTTCATTTTTTGGATTTCTGGAAATAGCATCTTGACAATGTGCTTACCACAGAGTAGGCTTCAGTAAACCTCCTTTTATCCCCTTTCTCTAGGCTGTTACCTACAAGGCAAGTCTGACTTACCAGGATAAGTCAGAACCACAGCTACACCCACCCATTGCACAACAGACACCCTTCTCCCTTCCCTCCTTAATCCCTCTGCCTGACTGCATCTACCTTCCCTTATCACGAGTGTAGCACGAGTACTAATTGGTCTTAATAATAAAAGCCTAGAGACAGATATTGGGGTTCAAGCTAAAGATCAGAGAAGCAAAGCAGCCAAACCACTAGAGTCCTTACCTCTACGAAGGCTCAGACCAAAGAGGGGAGAGTGACTGCAGACTACAGTGCTCTCCATCAGACCTCAGACTGCCCTGAGACTGCACAGAGCTCCTGCCTTATATTTCTCTCTAGGACTGGAATTAAAGGGGTGTCATCCCAAGTGCTGGGATCAAAGGTATGATCTCTGTTTCTCTTTTAGACTGATTCACTGTCATGTAGTCCAGGGTGTCCTTTAACTCATGGAGATCATTTGCCTCTGTCTCCTGAGATCTGGGATTAAAGGTGTGGCCACCACTGCCTATCCTCTATATGGTTAACTAGTGAATTATTGTATGTAGCTAACTAGTGGTGTGGTGTGTATGTAGCTGTGTATGTATATGTGAATGTCAGTGTGTATGTAGTGACTTAGCTCTTAATTAGGTGTATAGCTAAGTAGTGCACTCTGATCTTCAGGCAAGCTTTATTTGTTAGATTACAAAGCTTCACTACTCACAAAAGTCAATCATTTTCTACCCCAACTCCCATGTAAGGTGGTTCTTCTTCCTCCTTGCTATCCTCCCCAGCATGTCACTCAACTCTTCCTCCTCAAGGGAGAACATAAACTCCCTGCTACTTCTTTTCTCCTATGATATTCCTTTGCAACATTTAATATAATTTGTAATTACCTTTTAATACTATACAGGTTTATTGACTTACCATCTGATTTTTACACTAGAGTCTAGATCCCAAGTGGACAAACCCTATGTCTTTTTAGTTGCTCAAGATTCTGTGTAGCACCCAGCACAGAACCGAGCACAGGGATGTGCTCCTTTATCTGGTCTTATCGCCTCTCTTTGGATGGCTTCCTACAATCTCCTTGGCAAATAAAAACTGAGTTTTTTGTGGAGCCCACATTCTCTGGTGTTTTCCTTAAATTTCCTCATCAACATTTATCCCCACATTATTGAGACATGGGTTGTATTCTCTGGTTGTTTCATGATTCTCTAATCACAGGATCAGTTGCCCAAGGACTGAAACTCTTTCAGAACATTTTTGAAGTCTCTGTGTGCCTACTCTAACAGTAGACAATATTATTGGCCCTCAGCAGTTTCTTGATAAATGAAAGTATAGGTCAGCCTGACAACCCAGCATTTCCCTTCTGCAGGGCAGGGATCGTCACATAACAAAAGTACAGATACCTTTGCAGTGAGATCTTTTCCAGTCAGGGTTCTGCTTCCATCTTCTCAGGTTACTATTTTCAGTTTCAATAAGAAGCAAACAATCTTATCTTGAAAGGGGGTTGGATTTATTTTTAATAAGAAGTCTGAATTGGGAGCTTATATATATTTTTTCCTCCAGAATATAATAACGGCACAAGTAAACCCTTGCACTCCACTTCTGGTACGTAAGAGAAGAAACTTCCCGGTAAACTTCTTCGGGAAGGTAAAAGCAAGCCTGGTACAACCCAACCTATTCAATTTCCCTGGGAGCCTAGGGAGGTCACACAGTAGGACCACCTAGTCAAGGTGGGTTTCTAGCATCCTGGACTGAGAGGAGGTGTGAAGGCATACAGAAAGCTCCTGGGAGCCAGTGTCTCCAAACACAGGCAAGCTGGACACTCACCAGATAATCTCAGGAAGGAGTCACTTTTGATCTGGTCCCTTTGCTCCTTTCACAACCAAAGCAAAGCAAAAAGGTATAAGCTAAAGATGCTATTGTTATGCCCAAAATGACTATTTACTAAGCCAGAATTTCAGCATTCATGATGTTATTCTAAATGAAGTTTTCCAGTTAGTTGCCTTCATGATAAAGCCACAGGCTGCTCATTTATTCCATATTCTTTGGGTGGCATTCTATCTGTCTGTCTTTCTAGATATGTATATATGAATTTTTATGTGCTTCAGAAATTCTTGAAGACAAAGAAAATTTTGTATAATTTCCCCCACAGAATTAATAGTTTATCTTATAGCACTGGCCACGCTTAAAAAAAAAAAGAAAGAAAGAAAGGTAAGTTTTGCAAAAATCAGTTACACTGTGAAACCTGCCAATGCTGGTGTGTAATGTCTTTGTTGCTTAATCACCTGTCTCCACCTCTGGTTGGCATTATGACAACTGCTGACAGGCACCTTCTCTCTGCTCTCAGGCTGTGGCAGTCCTGAAGGTTGATGGAGGGCCATGCTATTCAAACAGCAGGTGTGGCTGAGACAGAAGCTCCTCGTGCTGGGAAGCCTTGCCCTTGGGAGCCTGCTGTATCTAGTTGCCAGAGTTGGGAGCTTGGATAGGTAGGTGGTTAAATATATGCTCTATTCATGTAGTTTTGTGTGTCTCCTGATGTGAACTTCGTTGAACTATAACTTTAAGTTGATCCATTTGTTTTTGTCCCTCAAGACTCTCAAGAAACAACTTTACTGTGCTGTTGATTTTGATTCATTAAGACCATAAAGTTACAAGTTCCACACAGCAAAAAACCAAGATGCTTATCCAAATCCATCTGTATTCTGAGAGCTCTGACCCTTGTTCTCAGAGAAGGCATAAAGCTGTGTACTTAGGAAAATAAATAAATAACGACTAGAGCCCAATGTGGCGTGGTGTGTGTCTGGTGCTGACCTTCAGCCATTACATCACGGCAGTAATAGGACTATGTTTCTTCATTTTGAAATTTATGAGTGGACAATTATGTATACACTAGTAAAGAAGCTGATCAAGTTTGCAATCTCCTGCCCTGGAAAGAGGGCTATGGGCATGGATTTTTAACTATGTTAATTATCTCTGACTTTCGGTACCCAACAAGGATACTGCCAAACAGAATGATTGCCCAGAAGGCACTGGAAAAATCCATGGAGAGGAAATTACAGAGTTGGGGTTTGGTTCTTAATAGGCAAACAGTTGAGAGGTGCTGGGCCTTCTGGAGTCCCCATCATGACAGCTGAGTGTCCCTAAAATGTTCCTTGGTGGTTCTACAGTCAGGGTGATAAGTAAATACTGAGGGCTTAAGTTCTGAAATAAGGAACTGCTATTTTCCTCCTTTTTAAATTAATTCTTGTGGTGTGACACAGGATTCTTTGACCTATTCAGTTCTCAAAGTCAATGAACACAAATCCACATTTTTAAATGAAAATAGCTTCAGCTTTCTTCTCAGTATCCCATCGTTCAGATGTTTTAAAACAATTCAGCAATGGTCTTTGCTTTCCTTCAGCCAGTGTCCATCATAACTTTTGATATTTTTCAGTTCAAAATTCTTCCCACTTTGTAATGGTGACCAAAGTGACTGAGAGCTTATCACTCAGTGCTGGCATTCCAGTGTTTACTGTTTGCATGTCATTTAATAGTGAAAGTCCTTGAGGTAACAGCATTTGACCTATTCTGTTTACAACAGAACTTTAATATGAAGTCTTCCCAACACCTTTAGTTGCCAATCATTGACATTTCATTGAGTGATTGGTCTTATAGTTATGAACACATTTATCAATCCGCTGGTAGCATATTCATCTCTAGTTTTCACAGCTCATTGATGGGATGGCTTGTATAAGAAATTCCATCATTTGGGGGCCTTTCTCAAAATCCCTTGCTTAAGATTTTGAACAGATTAGGTCTGAAGATGGCATGTGCTTCTTTAGGTTTACCATTAGTAACTGGAGATTGCTTTCCAGGAGGAAGGCTGAGGTCACTTCCCTTGTCTCTTCCAATGTTGAAATTCTGCTTTGAGTCTGGCAGCCTTAGAACTGTTCTTCAGGGAGCATGAGAGTAAGATATTTTCTCCTAGCTTAACATGCTCTCTTGACTAGGCAAGTCCAGAAAGCAATTGTCCTATGGAGTTTGATCTTCCAGGGTAGGAAGTAAAAACAAGAAGGAAGTTCAGAATAAAGGCAGCCCTTTCCAGACAAAGGGAGTTCCATTCCAGTTCAGTCACTCCTAGAGATGCCTTGTCAACATTTTCACCCAGGGCCAACTAAGAGAATTAAATCTTACAGAAAAAGATTTGAGAGACATTGTTTCGGTGCTCATGGAAATGGTACTAACATCATTCTACTGGACTAGGAGACAAATCCATCAATGGTAACTCAGTGATTTAGGGCTAGCTTCATAGACAGAATCTAATAAAGGAAAAAAGGCTAATTTAGAATATCCTCATGGCTGCCACAATCAAAAACGCCTTTAACTATGTATCTGTTGAAAACTTTATAACATCCAATTAGAACCCTAGAATAAAAATCCTAATAAATATATAAATTTACATTTTCCTAAAATATTAACTACAGTTGTCCTGGTTTGTTTGCTTTCTTTTGTTTTGTCGATGTGACACAAGCTACACTTGGTTGGGAAGAGGGACTCTCAGTTGAGAAAATGCCTCCATCAGATTGGCCTGTAGGGAAGCCTGTAGTGCATTTTCCTGATTAATGACTGAAGTGGAGGATCCAACCCATTGTGGGTGGGGCCACCCCTGGGCAGGAGGTCCTAAGAAAGCAGACTTAACAAGCCATGAGAACAAGCCAGTAAGTTGCTCCCCCCCCCCCCCCCCCCCCCCCCCCCGCCAGGGCTCTGCTTTAGTTCCTACCACCAAGTTCCTGCTTTGGGCTCCCACCCTAATTTATTTCCACGATGGACTGTAAGCTGAAATAAATCCTTTCCTCTCCAAGTTTGATTTTGGCTATGGGTGTTTTATCACAGCAAAGGAACCCTAACCAAAACAGGGGTAAGACCTGTTTTTACAAAAGATTTCCATTGTTTTCAACTTTCTGAAATGAGTGTGAGGTGCTTCAAGAGTCATACAATACATGTTACAAAAATTAATACATTTGTATTTTTGTTAAAAATTATGATATAGACCTAGATAAACAGAGCAAATCCAATGCCATTCCCCCGAAGTTCTACACAATCAGTTGAACATGGCTTGAAGATGCAATGGTGTCTCTTGGGGAAGCAAGAGACTGCCTCATTGCCACCGAGAGGGAGAGAGACTCTAAATTACTGGAGTCACTAGAAAAGTTTTATCTGAAAGAAATAATTTAATAGCCATTGTGACTAGTGTTATCCCCTTTAACCAAGAAACCTTAAAAGACTTCCTACATCAACCTAGTTGACTAATTAATTATAGTGAATTTTCAGTTTATCATCAGATAAACACAATTTTCTAACCATATACAGAGGCCACGCTAAAGTAATCATTTTGTTCTAATAACATTGTTACTATTACCACACCTTTCTCTCTCAGAAAAATATAAACAGTTGTGCATCCTCCCTGGCTCTCCCTGTTGCACTCCTTATTGTATAATCTCTATTTCTTGATTTAAGTTGCATGGTGATGAGAATCTGGGATTTCTGGCCCCATCAAAGTCTTTCTTTCAGATTTCTGGTCACAGGAGTGTGGGTCATACACAGAACATTGTGCTTGAGATTGTTCTTACAATCAGCAAAATGAAAGCATAATCTTGACCTTCTTAGATAGAAACAGAAAGAGAACAAGAAGTAGAGTATTCACTGATCCCCAAAATAAAACATCTACAGCCAAAGTAATTCTTGACAAAGCCCCAAAATATACAAAAGAAGAAGAAGTAGAACATTCCTCTGCCTATCCCCAAGGCCACAGGGCAGAAATTCTCACAGAAGAAACTGTTCAGCAAGGTCCAAGACTAGAGTTCTGCATGATGGTGATGCACAGAGCCAAGGGTAGGGATAGAAGACCCCCAGGGAGGGAGGGAGGGAGGGAGGGAGGGAGAAGCAATAAAATGAAACACCTCAACTAAATGGTCTCCTCTTTGCCCTTCGGTATCCTATCTGAAGATTATAATCTTCTGACTTCTCAATTTTCTAAATGATTTTAACTGGTGAGCTATTGAAAAGCTATTAGTATGGCTGGGGTCACTTGTCAAAACTGTACTGTGAGCATAAGTACATTCCATAGTCAATTAAGTACTTGGTGAATAAAAATTTTAAGGAGCACTAATAAAAAAATCCCATCAATTATGTGTGCTCTACTGAATAGGGGTTGCTTAACATAAAATTTCCCAAACATACGTTCATTATGTATCGAAGCAGCCGGGGACCCAGTGGCTTTATTTATGTATGTATAATCTGAGTCTAGACACAGATGCAGAACAATGAAAAGCGTAGTAGTGATGAGTTTCTCATGTCTCTCTTTGGCTTGCAGGCTCCAGCCCATTTGCCCTGTTGAAAGCCGATTTGGAGGCACCCACAGTCAGGCTGAGTTCCCACTCCGAGCCCTGCAGTTTAAAAGAGGTCTGCTGCATGAATTCCGGAAGGGCAACTCTTCCAAGGAGCAGGTTCGCCTCCATGACCTGGTCCAGCAGCTCCCCAAAGCCATTATCATCGGGGTGCGGAAAGGGGGCACCAGGGCCCTGCTAGAGATGTTGAACCTCCATCCTGCAGTGGTCAAAGCTTCTCAAGAGATCCACTTCTTTGACAATGATGAGAACTATGCCAAGGGCATTGAGTGGTACAGGAAAAAGATGCCTTTTTCCTACCCTCAGCAAATCACAATTGAAAAGAGCCCGGCCTATTTCATCACAGAAGAGGTTCCGGAAAGGATTTACAAAATGAACTCATCCATCAAGCTGTTGATCATTGTCAGGGAGCCGACCACACGAGCGATTTCTGATTACACTCAGGTGCTAGAGGGGAAGGAGAGGAAGAACAAAACCTACTATAAGTTTGAGAAGCTAGCCATAGACCCTAATACCTGCGAGGTGAACACGAAATACAAGGCGGTTAGGACCAGCATCTACACGAAGCATCTAGAGCGCTGGCTGAAGTACTTTCCAATTGAACAGTTCCACATCGTGGATGGAGACCGTCTCATCACCGAGCCTCTGCCGGAACTACAGCTCGTGGAGAAGTTCTTAAACCTTCCTCCGAGGATAAGTCAGTACAATTTATATTTCAATGCTACCAGAGGGTTTTACTGTTTGCGATTTAACATTATCTTTAATAAGTGCCTGGCGGGCAGCAAGGGGCGCATCCATCCAGAGGTAGACCCCTCTGTCATTACCAAATTGCGCAAATTCTTTCATCCCTTTAATCAAAAATTTTACCAGATCACTGGGAGGACATTGAACTGGCCCTAAAGTAATGCATCATACAACACCATGTGTTGTACGCGGGGACACATGGTGTCTCCTCTAGATTAAAATATGCACTTTCCCAGACACAGCTACCCGATTCATTTTTCCATGAATACTTGTACATGTGCAGTGTGTGACCAAATATAAGATCAGTTCTTTTTCTACTAAAAATTTACAAAAAATAAATAAATACTAAATTGCTGCCTGCATAGTTGCATCTTTTAAGCTATTTACAAAAGAAAAGTAGAGGTGGTGGGTCTGGGGGAAGTGACTTCAAATGTTCTCAAGAGTTAGTCTTCCTTTGATTCAGAACTTGTCACCCTCCATTTTCATAGATTTAAGCCAAAAGATGAATGTGTGAAAATGTACCAATGGCTATGAAGCTTCAGGAAGTAAAAGATTCAGCTTTATGGTTTTTTGTTTTTGTTTCAGTTTTTTTGTCCTAAAGTGAAGCTGGCTCTTTAATTCAGATACTGAATTGGTGCCATGAAAATAGAATATGATATTTTCTGATTATTTAAAAGAATGTCTTATCTCATCAAATTGACGTTGTTCCAAAGTTCCTGTGGTGATTTTGCACTATTGTTTCCTTGTATGGACCATGGTGTCATTCGTAGCATGTCAATCATGAGCTGGGGAGTCAAGTCCTTTTACTTCCATGTGTATGTCAACAAAGAGAAATGTCCTGTACAGATTGTAAATGATGTAAATACCAGTTTCACACTAAGTAATTCTATTTTGTAAACTGAATATGGCTATTTAATTTATTGTGAAAATTAAATTTATTGTGGTATTTAAATGGAATGGATTAAAATTACACTATGTACAACTTTTCTTAAAAACTTCTTTTACCTCTATGCCCCCTCTGCTGGCCTCCAGCAGGAAAGCTCTGTGTGTGTGTGTCTGTGTCTCTGTCTCTGTCTCTCTTTCTGTCTCTCTGTCTCTCTCTCTCTCTCTCTCTCTCTCTCTCTCTCTCTCTCTCTCTCTCTCTGTGTGTGTGTGTGTGTGTGTGTGTGTGTGTGTAGCTCTGTTTTTTCATTCTTTTGCTTTTGAGGGGCCCACCACCCCACTCCCAAATAAATCACACACATAGAGGCTTATTATTAGTTATAAATGCCCAACCTTAGCTTGGCTTGTTGCTAGATAGCTTTTCTTAATTTAAATTAATCCATCTTCCTTTTCTCTCTGGGTTTCTGCCTTAATTCTGTTTATCTTAGTTTCCTTCTTACTCTATTGTTGGCAGGGTGACTGAGTGGCTGGGAGGCTGGGTGGCTGGGTGGCTGGGAGGCTGGGTGGCTGGGTGGCTAGGAGGCTGGGTGGCTGGGTGGTTGGCCCCTGACATTCCCCCTCTCCTTGTTCTCTAGATGCTCTTCTCCTTGTTTTCTCCTATTTATACTCTCTGTCAGTCCTGCCTGTCCTTGCTCTTGCCTCGATATTGGCTGTTCAGTTCTTTATTAGGACCACCAAGTGTTTTAGACAGGCACAGTAACACAGCTTCATAGAGTTAAACAAATGTAGCACAAACAATTCACACACCTGAGAATAATATTCCCTGTGTGTGCATATGTGTGTGTGCATTCGCATTCCCTATTGACCTCCAGCATAGAAGCTCTCTCTCTCTCTCTCTCTCTCTCTCTCTCTCTCTCTCTGTGTGTGTGTGTGTGTGTGTGTGTGTGTGTGTGTGTGTGTGCTGCCAAGGATGTGCCCCCTTCTGGCCTCCAATGTGGAAGTGTGTCCCTTAGAGAGAACGTGCAGTGATTTACTTCATCCTTAGATTATCAAACCCCAGTGAAAGTATACTTAAAAAGGGAGGTTGAGAACCCTTTGCAAAAATCTCAGCCTTGTGGAATTCATGGAAGAACAGCCACCTCAGAGAACACCCGCACTGCACTGACTACTGGGTGGTGTCAGAGAGAAAAGAGAACCAACACAGAAGAACCACAATTGTCTTTGAATCTCTAATCACAGTCAGACCCGAAATAAGGTAATAAGATTAGAACATGTGTGGTCTCTGTCCTGAGAGCTGCTGGGGTTGTGCAGATGCAAGGAAGGTTTCAGAACTCTCTTTGACAGGAAAATGTCTTAATCTCTCAGATGAGGTCAAACTGCACATCATTGCTATATACAAAGAGCAGATAGCCACATACCCACCCAGAGAAAGCAACACTAAACTGGGTGCCTCCAGAGCATCAGAGGCTCTTAACCTTGGCCTAAACACCATTCAGAAAAGGGCAGACAGAGTTACAACATCAGCACTGGCTCATCTGCATCCGTAGTTGCTTAGTAGGGAGGTATGTTGGAGAAGGCCCTGCTGAACTCTAGGGTACATAGAGAACCAGCCAATCACAGTAATGTCCCCTTGTGGTAAGAAGGGTCTGTTTTCTCAGCTTTCTCCTGTCCAGGGATTTGATGGTGATTTCTCCTAAATAAATAGTCCTTTCTTTTCCAGTATCATTGCGGATGGTCTCTCCAGCCACAGCTTTGGCCATCATCTCTTCTGTCTGAGTTAACAGGACACTTATCCCCCAGCACGACACTGGAAGAACTGAAACAATGGCTGGCCAGCAGGTCCTCACTGTGTACGGCCTCTGGAAGGCAAGTCTGAGGTCTAAATGTCAGTCATTTCTCTCCTAGGCAGGAAGGAAGCCAATAAAAAAAGCCTGGTTCATTCTTCCTTGTGTCTCAACTCTGTGCTAACCATCAGAGCAGTCTCTCTGGATATAATCCAGGACATAATCACTGGATTAATCTTACACAGGTAGTACAAGACCACCAGAGAGCTAATATGAACCGGTACCAACAACTATTGAAGTATGCCCCATGGGAATACTGGCATTTTTAAGATTCAACCTCAGCTAATGAATTGAAATGTCTCAGTAGTAATGTGCTCCATTATATATTTTGTTTTTTGTTTATTTCTCATTATATATTGTCACATTTGGGTCAGTTATACTTAAGACATACAAAATGGTGTTTTGTAGCCCCATGTAAAAATGATCAAATTAAGATAATGAACACATCTATCATCTCAAACTCTTACTATGTCTTTGATGAGAATATTAGACCTTTAGTCTTAGTGCTGTTTATAACATTCGGTATTCAATTATCAGCTGCATTTGACATCCTGTACTTGGTCAGAAAACACAAAAAAACAAGCAAAATTTTCCTGCTAAGGGAGGTTTTAAATGCTACATGTGGAATAGTCAGACTTTATTCTAAGATTCCATTTGATTTAAACTAACCTGTATACTTTCAGTTTTAGCTCACCAAGTTCAGGAAACCAATGGTGTCGTTATTTGTAACTGCTGCACTGTCTAAATGAGTTTATTCAAAGCTTTCAAAGCTGCAACCTCAAATGGCAGAACCTGAGGAGCAGGGGAAGGGATGTTCCATTTCACTGGAAAAGCAATCATGGCAGCACCTATTAAACCAGGTAGAGAAATAAAGGACATATGACTGACTTAATAGCATACTTCCACTGTGGACTTGGCAACCCCTGTTTAGAAAAAGGTGTCCTGTTGTCATTAGACAGGTGGCAAATGAAAAATCCACAGCTCTTTACGGTCAGTAGGGCTCTCTTTAATGAGTTACTGCTTTTCCATTATGAACACCTTGCATTCATACCAGAGGCTTGGAGGCACTGTAAAGCTTTAACAGATAGTTTTGGCTGGAAGCAGAAGAGGAATTTAGCAATGGTAACATTTCTGATGGATTATAAAGTTGGATCCCACCATTTTGGAACCCAAGGAATTTCAATTATAATTATACAATGAACCCAAAGAAGAGAGAGAGCAGAGGTGCCCAAATCTGAAGACAGACATCCTCAAATCCCAAGTCTATTTCCCACCCACCTGAAACCAGTCCACATAAAGCCACACTAATTCAAGCACTAAGAGCTCTCACTAAGTGCGGTACAATGAAGAGGTGTCTAACACACTTTGATCCAGTTAGTGTTTTGACTCAAAGGCTTAGAGGTCCCTCATAATCATGTATGACCTTAGATTTAGTGAATGTGTGTTGATGGACTATGAAGAATAGTCTTTTGCTGTAGGGAGCCGTCCCTGCATTCTCCATTACAATGATGGCGCCTGCAGGCACTGAATGTAAACAAGATTATTGCGCAGGCGCTGGGTAATTTTCCATTCCTTGATCTCTGCCTATTCCGTGGCGTCATGGCCTGATGAGCTGCAGCCAATCATAGGGTGACACGTCCCAGGCGGTGGCTGCCAGCCTTTATTAGGGGACGGGATTCTTGGCTCGGGGTCTACGCTCTGGTAAGCTTATGCTCTCCTCTCAAGACGCATTAAAGCTTTCCTGCAGAAGGATCCGAATGTCCTGTGTGGTTCTTGCTGGCGAGGCCATAGCGCGGGACATTTTGCCAAGCAGGGTGTTACTCACAAGGCCATTGTAACTTCTGGAAACGTGGTCCATGGTGTTTCACATGATAGAAGGATCATCCTAGAAGAGAAGCAAGGGGAGTAAGAGACACTGCAGACCAGTGACCAAGTACAGTCTAAATTCTAAGCCTTTGCTTCGTCCCATTAGCTATTTATTTGCTAAATCAGATTGCCTTTAAAAGCCTAATGGCAGGATTTTGATCATAGTGTCTTGCTGCAGGAATCTTTTGTACACTTTTTTACTCACTCACTATTTCTCACTGTGGAGAAGAGTCTATAATCTGAACAAAACAGAAAACTTCAGAGACATCCCCCCTAAAATGACAAAATACAGCAAAATCTTAGCATCATGAGCTAGCAAGGTAGAAATACAGAATTATTTTTTATATTTTGGTTTTTGAGAGATTGAGTTTCTCTGTATAACTTTGGATCCTGGAATTCACTCCATATACCAGGCTGGCCTCAAATTTACAGAGATCTGCCTGCTTTTGCCTCCACAGAGCTGGGTTTAAAGACATGCACCACCACTGCCCTGAGAAATAAAGAGTATTTTAATATAAATTTAGAGCAAATCTTGACAGAAAGAGTCAAGACATACAGCAGTAT